GTTCATGATAAGAAGCTAAAAAACTTGGGTATTAGGATCAATTTAAATGACTTTGTATCTACGACAAAGATTAATTAGGATAGGTCCAACGAATTCTTGCAAAAATAAAATTAATTTATCCAGTACAGAGCTGAGGAAGGTGTGAAACTTCTACTAGAAAGAGGATTAAATTTTGCACTACTGGATGAAGTGAATCATTCTCTGGAAATACTGGTTGAGCTAATTAGCTTATCAGATAGATTACCTGAACAAGTCAGGAATAGTCTAGAATTGGGGGTGATTTCTCACTTTGACCTTAGTTCTGAACAGAGTATATTGTTATTTAGTTCGTAATAACCTAATCGTTATTAAAGCCGACAAGGGTGGAGCAGTGGTAGTCTTGGATAGGTCAAGTTATCTAGAGAAAATGCTTGTGCATTTAAATGACATCAATATATATAAACCTTTAATAAAAGATCCTACAGAGGGACTTAAAACTAGGTTAAGATATGCTTTGGTAGTATGCTTAAGTAGTGGATATATGGAGAAGTGGAAAATGAATTCCATACTTCAAAGTGATGCTAGGGCACCCTTTATTTATGGCCTTCCAAAGGTGCATAAAGAAGAGTTTTCCCTTAAATTGATTACTAACAATAAGGGTAGTATTATGCATAAAATCCCACATTTGTAATGCATACAACTAAGAAAAGTAACAGAGTTATGGTTATTTTAGGTAAAACACTTATAAGTTTGTTAAACTAGTGTGCCGGCAAAATATTTCCGAAGAAGATATATTTGTAAGTTTTGACGTGATATCAATGTACGCAAATGTTCCAGTTCAAGGAGCTATTCACGCTCTAATGCTTGTAAATGTCCCTTTTTAAAAATATAAACGTCTAGTCCAGTGATTTCCAGACTGTGCGCCGCCAAGCCCCGGGGAGTCGCGGCCTCTTTACAGGGACGCCGCGAAATATTGTAAAAGCTTCAATTTGAGAAAATGTGCAGTGATTTTCAGGCTCATCCATCACATTAATTATTAAATATTAATTTCATGTTAATAAAGTAAAAAAAATAATTAAGATACACGAGTTTTATTTATTTTTACCTCTTACTTACGAATAGTCATACTTAGGGTAGGGCGCCATGGAAAAATTTTTATTGAAAAAGGGTGCCGCGACTAGGAAAAGTTTGGATACAACTGGTCTAATCAATCGAGGCTAGTTCACTTGATATGTTTACGTTTAAATATTGTTGGGAGGATGAATCCCATTGTACTGCTGTACGGATGCAGTACAGGAGATTTATCGAAACCCAATATTTCTTCGTATTTACGTTTAAATATGCAGTGATTTTGAACAAGGCCAAAGAATAACATCAATTTCACACCAAAATTTTAACTTCATAATCGTTCGGATTCTAATGTATTTTTAGTTACATTGAGTGGATGCTATTTGATTGAGAATTTTTTTCTATTTGTAATTCAGCTAGTGTAAATCTTATGTCTGGCCTCAATATATGAGATGCATTCACCCTATTTCATTTAAGGTGATTAAGGAGTGTTGGTTGAATTTTCCTTCTATATAACCTGTCTAGCGTTTGGCCTTTTCCTGAAATTTACGTACAATTTTGAGGCTAAACTTGCCTCAGTATATACAGTAATCTTTATTGTCTTTCAAAACTGCTTAGTTTTGCTCTCTAGAATAAACTATCCGCACTTCACCTACACTTCTACTTTCCCCTAAACTCCATTTCGATCACTACCTTGCAGTTTGTTCTATGAAAAATTCTGGATTTAAGTGTTTTCCGGATTTCATAAGCTTTGATGGTATGGAGTTCTCAAGCAACTATCTTCTGATGGCTTCTGAAATTTCAATAAATCTTAGCGTATTTTATAAATCCCATCGCTTTTGAGCTCACACGCTTAATTTTTCCTCAGTTTTGAACTTCACCTTCTCCCTATTTTATTTGAATTCCTTCTTTCTTTTACTTAATTATCACTTCTTGGCTGCCACCCTCTATTATTTTTTTTTTATTCCTACTCCTTGCAATATTTAGGCTAACGTATGTTATGCTTTTCTTGATGAGGATCGTGTTATCACTCCAGAAGACCTCCCGAGCTTTCCTGGAGCACTTGAACTGAAAGCCAGCTTAGCTCATCTGCTTGCTCGTTGGCATCGGCAAGGAGATTCAAGTTTCAAGCTTTATGAGAAAGACGATGAGAAGCAGCGACTGCGGTCATCCAAAGACAACCAGCTTTTAAGTTCGGCAATTCACGGCCCGCCAAGTCCGGCTGATGAGCCAGAGTGTGAAGGTAGTTGCTAGTTGTTCGTGGATATCTTGTTTATTTTATATGAAAAGCTACTCTTAACAGCAGACATATTTTAGATGACACGCTTCGGCTCTTTATCTTTTTTTATTCATCCTGTTTATGATAGATTTGAAAGCAAGATGGTGTGGCCTTTTGTTTAGTCGCAGTCTCCTTTAGCTGTATAGTGTTGGTTTAACTTGGTTTTAGCAACAGGGAGACTTTGTAGAACGTATCTAATCCTGCGTCCTCTGCTATATCATTCACTATGGTTTCCAGTATCAAACCGTTTATTTAGCACATTCATATACGTTTTGCCGGCATCTTAATCGACATCGTCAGTGAGAGTAGCCATCATTAGCACAGAGTAACAACTTATCAAAGTTATAACTGAAGGCAATCTCCTTGATCAAATTTCTGTTCACCCTTTGTGACTTGCCACTTTGATAAGCTGACACTTTGTGTTAAGGATGGCGCATTTCATTGAAGGTGCCCACGAAGCGTGTGGGAATGTCAGTGGTCTGATGCTGTAAATTATCATTAATTTTATGGCAAATGACTCAGTACTAGGTTTCACTGTCACTCCGCCCAATTTGGGAAAATGAGGTCAAACTAACGTTGTTTATGATAACTTGCATGTATAATTTTACATGACAACTGAAGTTTATTTTGCTATCCGATGCAAAAGGTATTTTCCTTTTTTTTAAATTAATTTATTATATCGTATGAGGGCTCGGCAGAAAATAGTTAGTCATACAGTAGGCCTATTTATAATTACTTTTTACTTGCTATTCCCGCTTTATTAGAATCTAACCAGTCTAGTGGACATTTATCCCAGATTTTTTGATTATTTAGTTAGCCTATAGACCTCTGCACCTATTAATCAGGATAAAGGTAAAAGTCTAGGCAAAAGTCATTTGAGCTCTCATCTGACGAACAGGTGCTTAGGCGTCTTTTTTCTTTGGGCGAAATACTCCATTGAGTTTGTGCTCTGGATGCAGACCAACTCATCTATGCAGTATGCGTAGGATTTAAATTCTGAATGGGCATTGCGATATAGAAATTACCCATTATTAATATTACATATTTCCTTTTTGTGTTTTCTTTACCTATTTTACTTATTTAGCCTGGTTTATTTTACTGAAAATGATTTAAAACAGGCCAGAGGTATTAGGGCAAAGTTTGAGCATATCACTACTTACTAGCTTCTTCATGCTTACCAAGTATAGCTTACACGTATAGTACTAGGCGTCACAGTCTCCTCTCGTATAGAAGTTGTTTCACCTTATTTTCGCAACGTGGTCATATTTGTAGGAAGACTTGGAGGAACACACCTAGTCTTCCTACCAATATGATCATGTTGCAAAAACAAAGTCAAACAACTTCTGTACCTCCATTATTTCATTCTTCGTAAGGAGATCGGCCCACTCGAGAAGAGGCTCGTTGTGTATTATTTATTGCCTACTTATATTTATTACTATACTTCCACTCAATATTAGACACAAAATGTACTCTATCACATATTTATGTCTCATAAGATACCCTTTATTATTTCGCACAATAAAAAGATATTAAGAGTGTATTCTTAGGTTTTCCTGCAACATATTTATTTAAGCAACCACAATTTACCGTAAATAGGAAGACCAAGATGTTGTGGTCTGTGTTTTAGTCGCAGTTTATTTCCGATCTCTGGAAGTCGTCTAACCTCGTTTTCGTAACATAGTCGTGTTGTCATTAGGACTTAGCTGGGTGAAACTTATCCAAAGTCCTCCACTATTGTATTTATAATCATTCCCAGTGTTCGACGGTAGACTCTGTACATTCCCAGACCTTACGTCAGCATCGTCAGCGAGTCTTGCCATTCTTAACACCAAGCTACAAAGCATCATAGATAAATGAAGCCAATCCCTTGATTAAATTTCGGCCGAACGGTTGTGTTATCACTCCTTGTGTTCTGGCACGTATACTTACTCCCTATCCTTGGTTCTCACTCCCAAACTATCACAGCTTTTGGCTTATTGATATTTGACTACTCTTCGGCGAGTTCAGTAGAGCTTAATCACATTGCTTGTTTACCTTGCCCTTCATTACTTTGCCAGATTTGCTGATTCTACTAAGACCTATCCGAATCTCCTTCATGGCGCCAGAAATTCGTTTATTGTCTGGCTGGTTGACTAAGTTCACTCCGTTCCAGTCACAGTATACATTTTACTCAAGATTATTTTTCATGGTCTGCCAAAAGCCTATGATAGCCCAAATATTCTGGTATTACCGAGTGGAGTGCCTA